TTTTTTTTTTTTTTTTTTTTTTTTTTTTTTTGTATTTTAGGGAAGGGTCTACAGGGTGTTCTGGGTCTCCTTACTAGATTGGACTTGTAGTGATCCACAGCCTTCCAAAAGCTGGGATTACAGGTGCGCCACCATGCTCAGTTTCAATTGTCACCTTAGCACACCCCTAGTGGGCCGGCACAACATGCACAGGGATCGAACCCCCAGCCCCTGCGCCCACTTGCAGGTGCTTCAATACACTAAGCTATTTGGCCGGCCCTGATTTTCAAATTTAACTGGATGTTCTATATTTTATGTCAATCCTGCCCCAAATATTAAAGAGTTTACAATTCAACCACTAAATATGTGTTTTAAAAATCTTTTAAAATTAGAACTTTTCTGACTAAATTCAATGTTGTTATTTACCTCATATATTCCCTAACAGCAGAGTATAGAATGCAATAATTATGTTTTTTGGTTTTTTTTAATGAGCAGAATATATTTATTGAGGGAAAGAAAGCTCCTATCCGAGGGACTGGAGGGGGGCCCACGCGGGTTGTCCCCCAATAATTATGTTTAATGTTTTTCTCTTAATGTCTGTTTACTTCTTTTAGGTATAATTTTCTCCCTATCCAGATACGTTTAATTTTGTTCGGTTCAGAATCAGTGAGTCTGTTTCAATAGGTAATCTCCTAAAGACAATACAGACTATAGCTGTCAGCTTCCTAATATACCTTTTAAAATCTATACCTCAGAAGCTTAAGGCAGTATCGCTTTGATTTTGAGGCCAGCCTGGGTTATACTATAAGTTAAAGGCCATTTTGAACTATACAGCAAGACCCTGTCTCAAAAAATAAACAGACAAAACATACAAAATCCGCACAATCCATTGCTGCTATTCTAGCAATTTCCAGACATATTTAGAAAAAAGTTCTACTTTCCAATTAAAAATTTTATCTCTTTTATTTTATTTTCTGTGTTTTTGAGACAGGATCTCACTATGCAGTTCAGGCTGGCTTTAAGCTCACTTTGTAGCCCACCTGGTCTTGAACTCACGATACTCATCTTAGCCTCCAGAGTGCTGGGATTGTAGAGATGCACTACCAAAATGGCCATTTTTGTGAGAGGCTCTTGCTATGTTTTTCAGGCTGGACTTAAAATTCACTATGTGGTCCAGGATGGCCTCAAATTCATATTGATCCTTCTGCTTCAGCCTCCCAAGTACTGGTAGGGGTACACCACCCCTGGCAAGAATATTTTTTGTATTTTTAAATTCTGTTCAAAATTTTTATTCTTATAAAATGCACATGCACTATTAGGCAACATTAAGCAATTTTTAAAAATTATCACAACTTACATTTATTTTCGTATTGAAAAGAATATGCCTGTAGACTTGGGCTTTGCACAAAATGGCATTAATCAAGATGATAACAGGATCATACTCGATGTATTTGTCTACAAGTTTCTGGCAGGATTTCTGAAATAATACAAGATAATATTAGAACAAACTCATTAATACAGTCTAAAACCTTGAACTTTAAAATTATACTCTACTTATACAGCAAGCAAGGCCAAATCAACACTTAAGTAAATTTTCTACTGAGTATAAAATTTTCACTGTGTAAGAAATGAGTTTCACAAGTGATTAAATATAAGTGTCAAGGCTAGAAATACTAATATTTTACCTCTTATTTGGGAAGCTAAATAGATACTTGATTTAAAGACTAATTCCAATACTGGGGAGATAGCTCAGTGGCATAAGTACCTGCCGGGCAAGCCCAAGGTCCTGAGTTTGATCCCCAGTACCAAAAAAAAAAAAAAAAAAGGATTGACTCCAGGCAGAAAAGCATCCTAGAAGAATTTACTTTTTAATTTGTAGGAATTGTTATGAACGGATCTATAATATATTGGATGATGCCTGTTGTCTATTGGCAATACAGTCCCCACACTGTGGTTCCTAGGAGAAAAAGGATTTGTAGAAAGGTGTTCAGCAAAATTCCCTATTCCCTCAATTCCCAAAAGCTACATGTAGGTAAGGAACAAGACACAGTGCCAACAATCTTGAGGTGGCAGAAACCAGGTAAGCTTGTGTTTTCCACTAATAATACCAAGGATACAGAAGAAAAATGGTCTTTCTCTGCTACAGTAGATAGTGGAGAGTCAAAAGAAATGGGTGGTGTAGCTTGGGTCGAAGTCACCAAAATCTAGGCTCTCTCAGGTCACCATCTTAGAGTTCAGGATCTCTAGACATGTGATGATGTCATCAAATCACAGCACCATTAAAATATGGACATATGAAGCAGCATTGAATACAAAGCTGCATTAATGCTACAATTCAGAGAGCTTTTTGTTTTGTACTGGGAATTAAACTCAGGGTCTTGTGCTTGCCAGGCAGGCGCTTGTACCGCGAGCTCTATCTGCAGCCCCATGCTATAATTCAGTACAAACAAAAAAAAAGGGCTACAATTTCAACAAGACATTTTCAAACTCTGGCAAGATAAAATGGAAATAGAAGTGGGTATACAAATACACTAGGATGGCCTTTTAGTTACATCAAAACACTACAAGAAAAGTGAACTACATTGAAGAATATTAACCTTGAACTTCAGCATCATGAAATGGTGATTTCCTCAAGAGTTTCTCCACTTCATTCATTACCATAAACAGGTATATTTTTCCAGTCATCAAGCGAACCAATGAAGGCAGATGTGCTAATTCCTCAAACTTAAATCTACCTAACATAACAGAGGCATAAAGAACTCATATTTTTGCAGCTCTTTACTTGAGCAAAGAATGAACTAGCACCTAAACAGCAGCTAGCATCAGAAATCACATGATTATGACAGGCTATTTTATAGACCCTGTGCAACTCACACGGAGTACACTTCCTCTCTTCCTGCATATGACATCTTAAGTCCAGAGATGCTAATTCATTTTTAAATGAAACAGCTAGGATTTCCAGGATACCTTTCTCTGTCCTTGAGTAAAGTTCTGTGTACACCATTTTCAAGTACCACAAATATAAGACTCAGGGTCTGGATAATTCTTAGAAGCAGGCAGGCAGAAAGCAGCACTTGTAGGAGAGCAGCTACTGCTGCTTTTGCATTCATTTGTTTAGCAATGTAGAGTGGTTGCTACACTCAAAACAAAAACGCTCTGTTCTCAGTCACCTATGAATCATTTTCAAGATAGCAGAAAATCACCTAGAGCCATTTGTCTGACCTTTTGAGCCAGTTAGAAGGTCAAGACAAGTGTGCTACCACGTGGTCTAAGTGCTAAAATGGGATAACTCTTATAACATGGAATCAATTGAGAGGCCGCTCTTGTACCATACAGCACGCTGTGGGCATGGCCCAATTTCCCTGCAAAGCACAATAACCAACAGGAAATTCATTCAAGTCTGCTAGCTCCTTCTCATTCATGTAGATCTGCCTTGTCTTTGCTCTCCTTGTAGTATTTGCCTTTCTGGTAACTGCTCTTCTGTCAGTTACTTCCTGCCTCCCTCATTTGAAATGTAAGCAGGAAACCACACACACACACACACACACACACACACACACACAGAGTAGAACATCTTAGGGGGAGCTACACTTGAAGTACAGTATTATTTTCGGGAACTATGTTTTCCTTTGGCAAAATTATTCCATTCCTTATCATCTACTACCAAATAAACAAGAATCCTGAAAAGAAAAAAAACTTTTTGTTTAAACCAATACAGCACACGGGCCTCAAACAGTACCACCTCACTAGTCAGCTGTGACACGCTTTGTCCTGCTAACATTCTCCATTTCACTGATAAGCCACACTTCTTAGAACGTAAACTGGCTACACCGATTTGTCATAAATGTTCTTGCTGCTTTCTTCGGTATCACCATCGCAAGCACTACTTCTTTTCCTACTTATCCTCGAATCTATTTAAGTTTTACTCTACAATACGCAAACACGTACTTTTAAACGGAACCTTCCGGGCTTTTAATCTTCTCAAAGGTGGGACCGTGTATCTTATGCGTCTTTGCATCCAGCATGTCAGAGGTGGGAGCTAAATATCTTAATAGTGCCTGGAACTGACACTTGATAATCTTTAAAGAGTCTTGCTTTGTTTCTATGAGGTTACTAGGGGTACCGTGTCCGCACGCACAGTTCAATTGTGAAAACTGAATGGGAAACGACACTTATCTTCAACAGGGGACTTTAAAGGGAACAGCTGAAAGTTGGCGTGCCACTAACTCCCGCGTCCTCACTGCCGGGCCCGACGCCCACACGCCCCTCTCCCGCAGCGCACCAGCCCTCCGCCCTCGCCCGCCCGCGCACTCACGCAGATGGTGAGCTTCAGCACGCCGTGGTTGTAGTCTCGGTAGAGTTCGCTGGCCTCCTGGTTGCACTCGATGCACCGGTACGGGGAGGCGGGTGACACGGCCTCAGCCATCTTCGCTACACCCTAGGCCGGCCACTGGCCCTCTTGCCCAACCACTCGCCTGGTCGCGCTGCAAGTAGGTTCTGGCATGAACGGAAGTCGTCAGGCCGGAAACTGAAAGGCTATCTCGCAAGGCCTCCTGGGATTAGTGGTCCGGATAAGGGGCGCGGACCTAGGGCTGGCGCGTCGCGGACTACGACTCCCGGCAGGCGCAGCGCCCGTCTCCGCGCCCACCTGCTCGCCTCAGGCCGAGCACGGGCGCGCGTGCGCCGTGCGGGAAGATGGCACCTGCCGGCCGCGGGCGCTGGTACCCGGGCGGCGCGGTGGGCCGGGCGCTCCCTCTGGTCTCGCTGCTGGGGGCTCTGGCCTGCGCGCGCGCCACGGAGCACTACTCACCGCTGTCCTTGCTCAAGCAGGAACTACAGCATCGGCAGCAGCAGGAGGCCCCGGCGGGCGGCGGCTGCCCGCAATCGGGGGACTGGACAGACCAGTACCCCGCAGAGTGCGGTGAGTGGGCCGGCGGCCGCGGGCTGAGGGGACAGCCTGGGTATGAGCCTGGCGCCGAGCATGCTTCCTCGAGGTAGAGTGTCCGGGAGGAGGAGAAAGAGGATGAGAGCGAGCCTGCGGCATCTGCGTAGAGACCCCCGGCTCGGGTTTGGGACCACCTCGTGCCCGCCGGTCGTCCCCAGGCCTTCAGCTCGTGGACACTGCAGCCGCGCCACTCGTTCGCTGAAGTCGGGCGCTGTTGGCCTGTTCAGTATATCGTGGCAGACGCCTCTGGGAATGACATGCACGTTTTTTTTCTCTTGAGTTTTACTGTTTTGAGTTTTCTGTTTTAGTTTGTTTTGTTTTTTAAACCTTCAGTCCATGTTCTCATGCCTTCCCCCAGTGTGTATTCCCTTAGGACTTGCTTTGCAAAGGATGGAGGTCTTCCACTGTAGGAGCCCGCTGCTGGGCGCTTTAACACCATACACTAGCGAAGGCGGATTTTTTTTTTTTAAACTGCGATGAGATGTCAAAATTAACGCAATCTGATTTCCTTTTGGCGCAGTCTGCCTTGTGGGAGGAAGTCACACTTGCGGACGGGTGACTTCTTTATTTTGTGGTAGGCCGTGGTTGATAATAGCATAAATGCTGTAGCCCTCACTACAGCCGGAAAAAGGAGTGGCCGTTCCCACGCTATGTTCTGTGGTGCTGTGTGAATGAATTACTTGTTGGCAAGATTGTCTCAGTGAATTGGAGACAATCTTGTTTGTTTGCCTAGATACAGGGTTTTTAGTTTCTTCAGAAGAATGCGGTGGGGGAAAGGAGAAAAATAGCTGACAGGAGATGCTTGCAGTGTATCAGGTACTGTTGTAGGTACACTTGGTCTGTTTGTCTTGTATACTGGCCTATGAGAAAGGCAGTGCCACCTTATTGAATGGCAGTGCCTTCATCTGAGGCCCAGTGAAAGTATCACCTCCCTGAGGTCTGAGCCTTAGAGGGAGGAACCCCTGAAACCCTCTGCAAAAAGTTTTTGTCTCATCCCCCCACAGGCTCCAGTAGGGCAGCACACCTGTGGTGCTGGGCTGCATAGCCTTTGTATTGGGCATATCCTCTCCCTCCTCTCTTCCCCCCTCATTCCCTTCTCCTGTTGCCCCCACTTTCACCTTCTACCCCTCTCTCTCCTTTCTTTCCCTCTCCCCTTCCCTTCTCCCTCTCCTCCTTAGTCATTGATGGTCATGGGCTAGAGGAGATTCAGATCTGGACAGGAAAATGTCAACTGGTATCCTTCATGCAGATAGCTTGTTTCATTCCATGGCATCTTCGTTTGAACCAACTCTGACTTGGGTTGAGATTTCTCCCCAGGAAATGATAAATGCAGTTTCTTATAAACAAGGCCATGAGAGGAGCCCTTCTGTCTGCTGCTCCATTCCCTCACATGTGAAGAACATCATCTGATGTTCCCTAACTCAGAGGAAGCTATGAGGTTTTTAACATAATGCATTATAAATAATTCAGTTTTTATATCTACTTCGGGCAGTGCTTTTTTTCTCAGATAGAATTTAAAGTGAACAGTTGCGAGTAGCATGTATCTTCTCAGCAAGTCTTCACACAGCCTCCCCTGAGCTCATGTACATGTCCTGCACCTGTGAATAAGTCCTCAAGATGTGCAGCTGCTCTCAGCCTGCTAGTCATTCCCACAGCCAACAGCCCACTGCTTGGGGCACCAGCTATTTCCTTCAGCTTTACCCCGTGATGTATGTGACAAAAGCTGCCACTCTTGCTGTAGAGGCTCCTGATAAGCCTCTCATTTCTCCCTCTTCATTCTGCCAGTTGTGTAGAAGCTGGATTCTGTGAAGCCCATCAAGTCCCAGGATATGAGCAAATTTTGAATTTACAACTAAGCATGACCTACCTGGAGGTGGGGGATGGTGATGCTGTATTCCATCTCCAGAATCCTTGTATGATAGACATAGTGGTCTAGATAAGTGCAGTGCCAGGATCTGGGACTGACCGGTGCTTCAGACTCACATAGACCTGACCTCACCAGTTGTCAGTCTTGCCATTGTCATTTGGCTTGCCTATCCGGCCACACACCTATTTGTGTCAAGATAGCCTCTGCATGAGAGCAAACTGGTCAAGCAGTGGCCGTGACTCATCCTCATGGCTGACACTGACAAAGGATCTACAAAGTGCAGTACAGGGCTACAGGATAAATCCTGAGGGAACTTGACTGACCTTATCAGATACAAAAGTTACATTTCTTATTATATAGGTCTTGCTTTATCTTGGTCTTAACCATCCAGCAGAAAAGTATAAAAACGAGGTACATAAAGCCATATTAATACGATGAGCTATAAAAGGCTCAAGTCAGTAACTTCTGAGGATAACCTACTAATATTATAGACTGCTGGCCAGTGTTGGATTGTTTAGCTGAATTCAAACACCTATAGTATTTAGATGCCAATAGAATACCCCCCTCTGACAGGACTAAACAAAAAAAAGGGAATACAAAGGAAAGATCATTTTGTATTTATATATACAAAATAGGATAAATTTACAGCTACTTTTGCTTAATTCTGTGAGAAGAAAGAGGTGTACTAATAGTGTTTGGACAGGATATCCTGTCTGCTTCTTGTACTATGGATAACCACTAAGAAGATAACAATGTACAATGTATTGATTATCGAAACTGTCCTGTTAATCAGCTTTGAAACTGTCTCATTCATATTTCTCAATAAAATTAAAAAAAAAAACTACAGAAAAAAAAAGATAGCCTCTGCATGGAGGACACTGCTGTTCCAGTTGCTTCTTGCAGCTTTCAGGTGCAAATGGCTACGCTGCTGCTGTGTGGGTCTAAATCTCTACACCCTTTGATGAATGGAAAATATATTATGACCTCCCATGATGGTAGGTGCAAAGATAGCTGCCAGTGGGAGTCACTAGTCCATAGGTATCACAGGGAAAAGGCTAGAAGCAGCTGGGCACTGCAGCACCATTAAGGGGAATCGTGGCCTCAGAGAAGACACGGTCTAATCCTAACATCCACTACTGAGGCCACAAGCGGGCCATCCTTGTGTCTCAACTAGAGTTTTATGTGTTCCCTGACCCATAGCTTTTTCCTCTGGCACAGTTTTACATTTCTGTGTTACTTGAAAAGCATCTATAACTGCAAACTTAGGATCTTCTCTCTTTATTTTCTTGTGGAGAAAATACTGTTATATTTTAAAAATTATATATATATATGTATATATTTAAACTAAAACTAAAATTATCTTTTATTATCTTGACTCTTTAGCTTGCAGTTATGGAAGAAAATAATAGAAGTTTTCCTGCAGCTCTCCTTGTTTTCCAGTTACATACAGTAATTATAAATACTCTGCATCCTCTTGGTGCTGATGGTATTGCTTGCCCCCACTTACCCAAGAGGAAACTAAAGCAGAAAAGTTAAGCAGGGTTGAACTGTTAAGAAATAGAGTCTAGATTTGAATTTGACCTCCTGTTTGTAACATATTTGTATGTTAATACAATTTCTTACTAACAGTAACACTTTCACCTTAGGGTCATAATTTGAATGTCTTCCTGTCAGGTAGCTAGAACCACCAGTGGTATATGCATGACTGCCCCATTGGGTGGCTTTTCATTTTTATTAGTAAAAAGACATAAAATGATTAAATCCATTCATACATTAGTGATACAAGACCTGATGGTACAATCATGTATGTACCACTGATAGATCAAGCCACCTGGAAAGGATGTGTTAATGAATGATAAAATCCTATGCCCTTAAACTTTGTTAACAAAGTTGTATTCTTAAACTTCTAGATTTCAGGTTAGACATATGTAAAAGGACACCTCACTGATCCTAATATTTTGAACAGTAGAGCTGAAATGAATCTGTTTTTGCACTAAAAATCTATTTGTGTGTCTACCTTTTCTACTTGGTGTCATCTATTCCCTGTATGAGGCCTGCATCTTGGTGAGGAGGAGATGCATATAGCATGGCCCCAATGATGGGACTTCAATGGAGCAGCGCAAGAAGATACAAAATAGCGTGGGGCATTGCTTGAAGAAGTGGCCAGAGAAGGCTTCTGCTGAGCAAGAGCAGAGCTATGAATAGAGGGAGATGTGGAGGTCTTTGAGATAGCTTTTTTTTTAAAAGACAGACTCTTGCTTTGCATTTCAAACTGGGCTCTAACTCACAACAGTCCTCCTGCCTCAGTCTTTCAAGTGCTGGGATTACAGGTATGTGTCACTATACCTGGCTACAGATAGTTTATTGATTCCCTAATCTTACAGGTTTGGTAGACCAAGGCCTAGACCAGTTGTAACCCCTGCAGGGCCCACCTCTAGGGTGCACTGAGACAGCGAATGAGACTGGGCATGATGGCGCACGCCTGTAATCCCAGTGCTTAGGAGGCTGAAAAACAGAAAGTATCACTGTGAATCTGATCTGTGTAGTGAGACCCTATAGACCCTGTACTAAATACATTAAAAAAAAAAAAAA